CATGGGGCGGTACCCGACAGCCCACACTACCACCCCACACTTTCGCAAAAACCCTTCCCCCCCCCCAAACGCGCGGAAACGCAGTTCGCGGACCCCGTTCATTCGCGTCCAACGCGCGTCTGAACGGGGATTGAATGAGAATTTAACGTGTGTTCAATTTTTCAACGCGAAACCCTCGTTGAATCGATTTTCGGAGACACAGAGAGGGGCGACTTTGGATACTGTGTTGGTGTGGCCTGCAGACTTGGACATTGACTCATTACTTAATTGTATTGTTCTGTTTCGGATGGTTACTCGATGCATTTGTACTTTATGCTCATGCACAATTAACTTAGACATCCGTTGATTTTGCAACTTGGGTTTCTATATGTCGTTCACAATCATACTCCTTACATTTATTATTGTTATTATTATTACTTTTTTTTTATTATTATTATTTTTTTATTATTATTAAGTACTACTGTATTTGTGATTATTTTTTATATTGAGCATCATGGACCAGGGAAAGGGAGGAAGCAGGATACTAGAAAGGAGGGGGATACCGTCACCGTGTGGTGGTGCCCACCTCCTCCATCCTTCTCCCTTCTCCTTCAATCTTAACCCCTCCATCTTTTTCTCTCTCCATATCTATCCAATATTATTCGTATGATCGTTATTGATACTAAGCACCAGCCTGCCATTCTTTGATGAGTGACGACAAATGAAGTGGGGAAAATCAGGTTTGGAAGAGAGATGGAATACTGCAAAGGAGAGGGATGTCGTCACCGTGTGACGGCATCTACCTCCTCCATCCGTCTCCATTTCTTCCGTAATCTAATCCCCTCATTTCCTTGGTCCTGACCACTCTCTGAAATAGTATGAATCTCATCGAATGCGGGTGATCAGATGGTCAGACTAAACGGGGCGATTGCGGGAGCTTTGCCGGAGTTCAGGAGAAATTCTGGAAGCAGGGAACTGTAAGGTACGCATGTTTCAATCCTTTCCCGTATCCCTTACTAGCTACAACTCTTTATTAGGCCACATGTATAAGTGCATGTTTTACCTCTTCTTGCTTTTCTTCAGGAGTAACAATTTCAGAAGAGGTGGATGAACGTATGACTGAAGGAAGAACCTTGGAAGAACTGAAAAAGGAATCTAGTTTGTCTGGCTCTGAAACGTAAAGTTGTGTGATAAAGGCTCTCGAGGGGTCGTCAATTCGCTTGTATGAGTCTACTAAACTGGATGATGGGGTGCTCGCCGTGCGAAGTTACCCTGCCATTCATCTTACTAAGGTAACAAATTCATGAAATGTCTGTTTGATTGCAGCGTTGGTGACGAGAGGCTGTTGTGCAGTCCTCTCATTACATTACATGCTAGGCCATCGAGTAATCCGGTAGGATCGTCAAACTGCTTACAAAAAAAAAAAAACTAAGGCGGATGATAGGGTACTCGCC